GGATATGCACAGGTAGGTCATTGCGGCCTCCCACCTGCTCTCCTAACTTGGGGGGTGGAGTGGCTTCATGGCGATGATGATGATGATGATGAAGGTGTCACGTCAGGCTTGCTCATTCCTTACACTGGACAAAATGCACACCTCTGTGGCAGGTGAGTGCACAGGTGGGGACAAAAGCCCAGGGAGGCTGAGGGAGGTGTCCCAGTCAAGGGCATACTGATGACAGAGCAGCGATGCCAGACATCTGGTCCCCAGGTACCGGGATGGACTCTGATGTGGGGGCGGCAGGGCTGAAAACAGGCTGGGGATTGGGGAGAAGACTGAAAGGGAGGGCGGCTGGGAGATTGAAACCTCATGGTTTTCTCCCAACAGGTCGAGTCTGATCTAGAAGACATGGAGGTGAGTTTTGGCCTTGCCCCTCCCCCAGGGCTTAGTCCCCACGAGCTGGGCGAGTCCAGGTTATTGGGTCTAGGCTCCAGGCTCCCTTGTGACTCACGTGGACCCGTGGAAGCCACAGCGGGGAAGGCAGACTTCAGGCAGGAGCAGGTCTGAAGCCTCTGTACCCTCCTGTCCCCAGGACCAATTCAATGAGGACTTGATTGACACCGTGGGTGCTTACTGTAAGAAAAACAACCCGGTGAGTGTGAGGTGCCCGTCTCAGCCCTCCTCACTTTCGCTTCCCCTCTGGCTCTCTCTTGATTTTGGTACTGCCGTGTGTGTACACAGCCCCCATTAACAGAGCGGGAAGGGATGGCCCCCGAGATCTCAGGAGGTGGCAGCCTCTCTGGCACCGGCCTCCAGGCCTCCCCACCCAGCACACAGTGGCCAGATGCCTGCCCTCCATTCCATGGATGATGAGCCACACGGGCTTGGTGCTCGGCTCAGGGGCCAGTCAGCCAACAAGCGGGTTCAGCCATCGTGGTTTATGCCACAGAGGGGAGTTGAGGGACTGAGCCTCTGGGGAAAGTCCTCGTGTCTGTGCAGCTGTTGGAGGGAAAGCAGGCAGACCATCTGTGGGCTTCTGTCTCCCAGAGTCTCTAAAAGGCTGCGAGGCCTCAGCCAGGGTCAGGACCCGGGGCTGCATCCCCCTAGGCGTGACCCTGAATGGCTCCCCATCCCCACAGAGATTTGCTGACCGAGTTCCCGATATGCAGCGGGAAATACATTCCAGAACCCAGATGCTCTCTGGCCACAACCGGAGACTTGAGAGCCCTGTGACCCAGCAACCCAGGGAGAGCCTTTGTGACAAGGTAGAGAGGTTGTTCAAAAGGCTGCTGGAGCGACTGCAGAAGACCTGGCAGGCTGTGCTGGCCTGGGTGCAGGAGAAGGTGGCTGCCTGCTGGCGGGCCTTTTGCTCTGGGATGAAGAAGATCTGGAGTGTGTGTGAGCGTCTCTGGTCGTCTGTGGCACAGCTCTTCATCCAGGTCTAGGGGGCTCCAGGGGTCCAGGAAGAGCCGCCACAGCTTGCAGCCCTTTGACTTCCCCTTCTCTGAAAGAATCTTCTGAAGTGACCTCTGCCTCCTGCTCATCCTTGACCTGTCCCTGACAACGTCCATCACCTCCGCTCTGTGCACAGTCTGGCCACGCTGCCCGCCACACCCTCCTCGCCCGGGTGTCCTTCTGCAGGCCTGACTTGTGGCTCTAGCCCTGGTGTCTTAATAAAAGTTGGTTGAACCAAATCCAGTGTCTGATGGCATGGGAGGCAGGGTGCCCAGTGGTTACAGGGAAAGTCTGTGCCATAGATGGACCCGGGCCGGGGTTCCGGCTCTGGGGAGCAAGGACAAGCCGCCTGACCTCTCTAGTCTGTAAATGGGGACCCTGCTCACAACTGGTCATGGACTAGTGGTGGAGACGGAAAGATTCCAGGTTGGCACCTTGCTCACCACAGGGCCTGATGCACAGTAGGACTCCATCACTACCCACACCCGGGGCAGCAGGGGGCTCGGCCTGAGGGGCTTTGGCCACTTCTGTTCTCCCAACCTCCTTCTTTGGGCCTTCATCGCTCTGCTGGGCTGGGGCCTCCGAAACTCCTTGGTCTTTCTCCCAAGATCAGAGGCCGGGAGCTGGAAGGGGGTGGGGAGGGAGGGCGCACCCCTACCTGGGCCAGCAAGGAGGGTAGAGGAGGGAGGGACAGGACTCTGATCTCTGGCCTGTGGCCTCACCTGGGCCTGCAAATGCAGAACCCCGTGGGTGGAGTACAGGAGCAAAGCCTCGGGGGCCAGCAGTGTTCAGCATTTGTAAGGCCTGATCCCCCTCCCCCCAACCCCCCCCAACCCTCCAACTTCCTGCCTGAGGCAGATTCACACAGAGCAGCTGTGCACTCAGGGTGGCTGGCAGGAGCAGCAGCTGCTGAGATGAAGTGAGGGGTGGAGCTGGACCTGAACTGTAGAGGGTTCCAGGGCCTTGACCTGAGGGCAGAGCAGGGAGGAGGGAGGAAGACATGGGCCTGGTGAGGAGGAGACACCAGCAGAGGGAAGGCTCCCTGATCACAGCCCAGGGCTGAGCCCACTGTCTGGGGAGGGGAGGCTGCAGGGAGAGAGGGATGTGGGGAGGGGCTTGGGAGCCAGGAGGCCTCAAGGACCTGGGGCATTTCTGTGGGTCAGTGTCCCCCCCCCTTGTCTGCCGGCTTCCTCAGAGCCTTTTGGCTCACAGCCTGAACTTGTGGTTCATAGAAAGACCGCCCCCTGGGGGCAGCTGTGAGTCCAGCAGGAGGAGGCCATGGCTGAACCACGACCCTGACCTGAGCTTCTTGGTGGCCCTGAGGATCCTGAGGGACCCTGCTTGCTCTCAGCCCTGCCCCAGCAGGGGAGGGGACTAGGGGAAGGGTCTCCCTTCCTCTTGGCCTGGCCCCTTCCTTCCTGAGGGAGAAGGCAGCCCAGCCTGGGGGTCCTTTTGCCAATCCCCATTGCGGCCCACACCCTACCCTCTGTCACATCCAGGGGACCCCTGTGACAGCCTGTACATGGGAAGGCTCATCTCTGGCCTGAGTTCTCTGGGTACAAGGGGCCGCCCACCACCAGGTCCTCACCTAGCCTTCACTTCTCCTTGGCCATGTCCTAGCCTCACCTCCTGTCACCGTTTAAGTCCTTTCAGACCCTTTCTCTCATTTCTCAAGTGACACTGTGTCCACCTCCACTCACCTCCCTTATGTCCTCCCACCTGACTCTTCCTACAGAGAAACCCTCCTCCTGTGCTGAAGCTATTTCCATCCAGCAGCCAAGGCCTCAGTGATTTCCTTGTTAAAAAGGAAGAACTCTGGGGGCCAGCCTGGTAGTGTAGTTGTTAGGTTTGTGTGCTCCGGTTCGGCAGTCCAGGGTTCGCGGACTCGGATCCTGGATGCAGACCTATGAACCGCTGATCAAGCCTGTGGTGACATCCCACATACCAAATAGAGGAAGATGGGCACGGATGTTAGCTTGGGGGCAGTCTTCCTCACACACACACACACAAAAAAAAAAAAACAAAAAAGGAAGAACTCTGGGGCCAGCCCGGTGGCGTAGTGATTAAGTTTGTGTGCTTCACTTCAGTGGCCCAAGGTTTGCAGGTTCAGATCCCAGGCAGGGACCTACATACTGCTTATTAGGCCATGCTGTGGCAGGCATCCCACATATAAAGTGGAGGAAGATGGGCATGGATGTTAGCCCAGAGCCAATCTTCCTCAGCAAAAAGAGGAGGATTGGCAACAAATGTCAGCTCAGGGCTAATCTTCCTCACAAAAATGAAAGAAAAAAAAGAAGAAGAACTCCCTGCCCCAAATCCTCCGCCTTCCCGTTGTGAATAAACTCTACCGCTGGGCTGTAAGACCCCATCTGCATCCTCAGGGCCCTGGGGATCTCTCCTCCTGGACAACATCTCCAGCAGCCTGCCAAGCTCCTCTCATCTCAGGGCCTTTGCACGTGTTGTTCCCTCTGCCTGGGATGCCCTTCCTCCTGTTCTCCAAGACTGACTCCCCCTCCTATTTCAGGCCGTGTTCCCCTCAACAGCCCAGCACATTCCCTGGCACACAGTAGGTGCTGAAGAAATGATAAAGCCTTTAAATGCTGTGAGTTCTCCCAACTCCTCACTCTCAATCTCTTGCTTGACCAATCCTTCCTCCTTGACATTTCCCTCCCTGGGCTCTTCCAGGACTCATTTGTTCTGTGACATCTGGTGACTCTCTGTACCCCAATCTTCCTCCCACCCTACAAAGGGACCATGCCCAGGCTCAGTGCTTTCCCACCCAGCTGAGACCAAGAACCTTCTCTACCTTCCCCAGATGTGGGGTTGGATCTCCCTCAGCCCCTTGAGCCCTGGATGCTGAGTTCACTCCTTTCCACAACCATGTGCTAAAGAGCAGCTGTGTGTCGGGTTGGGAGAGGGACACAGATAACTCAGACACCATGTTGTTGTGTGTGAAAAGCCACAGACTAAAGCAGGAGTGCGTGTTCTTAGAGCTGGGGCGCTTTGTTTTCGCTCCAGTTTTTACCAAAGTCACGTGACTTTGAATCTGTGCACCAGAGGGGGAAGGAGGCCAAGACTGCCAGGTGGGTAGAAGGAAGACGGTTGGGCCATCAGCCTAACCAGCTCTGGGTTTGGAGGATTACGTGTGGGTAGGGGTAACCAAGTGACAACTCGACCCCTGGCAGGCAGGTTTCGCTCCCTTGCTAGCATTTTCAGTTTGAATTAGTTATCAACGTTCCAGAACAACCGCTTTCCCATGAGAATCCAGAATCTGGGATTTTACATTTTATTCAATTTAAATTAATTTAAACAGCCACATATGGCTAGAGGATACTATATTGGACAGCACAGACTGGGGGTAGACTCCAGAGGAGAAATATTCCAGGGTGAGATCCCTTGGCCTTATCCACAGCTGGTTATGACAAATGGCCACCCCCTCACACACACACCGCTGGCGTGTCTGGGGTGGGGGGGACTCTCCCCCACCTGCTCCCGTCCACCTGTTATTCAAGGTGCTGGTGGGGGAAGGAGAAAGGCATCTCTCTGACACAGTGGGGAGGGTAACAGATGGTATTCAGGGAACTTAAAAATGTAGAGGGACCACTTTCCAGAAGGCTGTTTTACTTTGAGCATTTTGAAATACATGCCTGAGGCCAGGAAGAGATGCCTCTGGGGAAGGGCAGAACTAACATGCAGGGTTGGTGGACTCAGAAGGAGGTGGTGTGGGGTGGTGGACAGGGACAGCCGCTGCAGGCCTGGGCTGTGGAGGATGCCGGGGAGATGCGCGCAGGGCATGCCTGGGGAACCCGGCGCAGTTAGTACAGGGTCTCCCGCGCGTGGGTTCTCAGGTGGCGCAGCAGGTGGGAGTTGCGGCTGAAGCTGCGGCTACACTGTAAGCATGAGTAGGGCCTGGCCCCCGTGTGCACCACCATGTGCCGCAGCAGGTTGCAGCTGCGGCTGAAGCTCTTGCCGCACTCCCGACACTCCTGGGGGGGCTCAGCCTGCCCATTCGCCGCCGCATCTCCCGTCCCTGCATGGGTGGCCAGGTGCCGCTGCAGGTGGGCATTGCGCCGGAAGCTGCGGCCGCATGTCTGGCAGCCGTAGGGCCGCTCCCCGGTGTGGCTGCGGCGGTGGCGGGCCAGGTTGGAGCTGTTGCGGAAGCGGTGGCCGCAGGTGTCACAGATGTGGGGCTTCTCCCCGGTGTGGATGCGCTGGTGGCGCGCGAGGTGGGCGCTCTGGCTGAAGCCCTCACCGCACTGGCTGCAGCGGCAGGGCTTCTCGCCCGTGTGGCTGCGCTGGTGGCGGGCGAGGTCCTGCATCTGGCTGAAGCTCTTGTCGCACTGGGTGCAGTGGTGGGGCCTCGCGCCGCCGTGGCTCAGGAGGTGGCGGGCGAGGCTGGCCCGGCGCACGAAACGCTTCCCGCAGTGCGGGCAGCCGTAGGGCTTCTCGCCCGTGTGCACCCGCAGGTGGCAGACCAGCTGGGAGCTCTGGCTGAAGCTGCGGCCGCAGAGCTGGCAGGAGAAGGGCCGCTCGCCCGTGTGCACGCGCCTGTGGGTCCCCAGGTGCTCGCTGCGCCGGAAGGCCTTGCCGCAGTCGCCGCACACATAGGGCCTGCGCTCAGGGATCGGGCGCAGGCTGCCAGAGCACTCGGAACACTGGTGGCCCTGGTCCTTGGCGTGGGTCCGCAGGTGGCGCTTGAGGCTGGAGCGGCGCTGGAAGGTTTGGCCGCAGTGGGAGCACAGGACGGCCGCTGGCTCCGGCGCTTCGGTCTTGGTCTCTTGGGCACACCGCGGCTTCTGGTCCCGGTCGTGCGCCAGCAGGTGCTGCATGAGGCTGGCCCGGCGCTGGAAGCCCTGGCCGCACTCGGCGCACAGGAAGGCGGGCTCTGAGGAGTGCGTCTGCAGGTGCTTGCTCAGGTGCGACCTCTGGCGGAAGCGGTGGCCGCAGAGGTGGCAGGCGTGTGGCCGCTCGTCCGTGTGTGTGCGCATGTGCAGCTTGAGGATGGAGCTGCGGCCGAAGATCTTCCCACAGCACCGGCATGGGAAGGACCGCGCCCCCGGGTGAGAGCGCAGCTGGTGCGCCTCCAGGCGGGCCAGCTCCGGGAAGCTCACGCCGCATTCTGGGCAGACGACCTTCATCTCTCGCTCCGACTTGGGGACCTCCCCGGCCACTTTGACCTCCGGAACGTCACTCTTGCTGGGAGACGACGCTCCTCCGCCGCTGCCATTCACCTCCGGGCGCTGGCCGAGCGACTGCGCATGGGGCTCTTCCACCACCCTGGGACTATCTGCCCGAGACTCTGCTGAGGTGGCAGCGGGTCGGGCAACCCCTTCGGGCTCGTCGTTAAACTCTTCATCTGGGGTTCTGCTTCCAAATCCTGGGAAAGAAGCAGAAAACAGGGACGATCAGGCCTATTCCGAGGGGCTCCTAGGAACTGCCGGAACTGCATTGTCTGGAATCGGAAAGAAACCCAGGATTCTGCAAAGCCGCTGGGTGGGCAGAGGGTGGGGATTAAAAAAAAATAACACAATAACAAAACAAATAATAAAATTTTCCACTGTAACCGATTTAAAGTGTACAGTTCAGATCCATCAGGTACTTTCACAATGTTGTGCAACGACTATCTACCAATGTTGTGTCACCACTATCTACTGCCCGACCTCTCATTCCCCCAAAGGGAAACCCCACACCCACTAGCAAGCACTCCATGACCACTTATTTTAAAAGCTCAAAGTTAGCAGGGTTGGTTATTAGACCAGACACAATGAGCTTCTAAAAATGTATACATTAGACCTCATCAAAATAGCCCATTTTTAGCCAAAGAGGCCAAAAAGTCAGGTAGGGTCTGGAGCTTCAGAGACCACGCCCAAAACACAAAAAAGAGCCTTCAGTGGTGGTAAGCCCAGGAAGGGCCTCTTACCCAGAGGGTGCATGGGCCAAGATTTCTTTGCTGGGACGTCTTCAAAGGTCAGGCACTCCTGTAACAAAAGGAGGGGCAGAGACCCTCAGTGAGTGAGGAACGGGGCTCTGGGAACTGAGGGGGATGAAGAGCTTTCAAGGTTTAAATTAAGGAAGACATGGATTTGCTAAAACTACAGAGGCAGAGAACGTTCCAGGGCATGAGGACAACCTGGAGTAAAGGGACCAGTCCAGCTCACCAGCACAGCTGCCAGCTCCTGATCTCGGGAGTTCTCCTCCAGCCACAGCAGGGGACCCTGGGGGGCTGACAGCATTGGGGGAGGAAGAAAGAGCTGTTAGAAGCCAGCCTTACCTATCATGTGGCTACGAGGCCATGCACCCATTGCCGGGGCCTGGGAGAGATATCTTGGCTCTCTTCCATCTCTGTCAACTAGGGAGACTGCCCACTGCTGCCCTGCCCTCATGCACTCAGCCTCTCAGCTCCCACTTTACTTGGGCACCAGCTCCTCACCGCTCTCTTGCAGGGCCTGGAATGTCCTCTTGGGACCTGGGCTCTGGGTCTGCTTTGGACTTGGGGAATGTCTCCAGGGCCCCAGCTCAGCAGGCTTGGAGGGTCCTGGCTGAGATGGTGGGAGTTCCTTCGATGGCTCCAGGGCTGAAGCCCCTTCTGTGGGCACTTCTCCTTTGGGGCTGTGGCTGGAGACCTGGGAAGGGCCCCCATGTTCCTCCAAGGTGATGTCTGCACGGGGACAGTTCTTGCCAGAATTAAAACTAAAATCCTGTTCAAAACACATTCATGTTAGGTGACAGACAGGGCGATAATCCATTTCCTACTGACTCCCAAGGGAAATGGAACAGAGGAAAGGTGCAAATCAGACAGGGAAGGAGTTAGGAAGTTAAGAAGGACTCGGTGGAGGGAGGAAAGTGGAGTTTTCAGTGATTTCTTAATGGGGCAATGAAGTCCCTGTCTTCTCACCCTGCTGCCCGGCCCGCCTGGCCCACCATCCTCTTACCAGTGGCCCCACATTGCTGGACTCCGTCTGGACACCCTCCAGCAGCAGCACCACCTCCTCGCCATCCCTGAGCTGCTGGCCCTGGAGCCGGGCCAGGAGGTGTGGGGGCAGCACGCTCAGGAACTGCTCCAGCACCAGCAGCTCCAGGATCTGCTTCTTGGTGTGCAGCTCAGGCCGCAGCCAGTGGCTGCAGAGCTCCCGGAGCCGGTTCAGGGATGCCCTCGGCCCCATATCCTCCTGATACTGGAAGCATCTGAAGAGCTGGTGAGCCACCTCAGGCCGGTGCCTGGCCTCTGGCCGCCTGGGGCCCTCCTGGCCGACGGCCTCCTCCTCCTCCAGTTTGACGGCTCCGAGCTGCTCCTGCTCCCATGCAGCCAGGACGGGTTCTGCAAGCATACTTCACTTTGGGGGATGCCTCACTGCAGCTGCTCCCACTCTCGGGTGTCTCTCCCTCTCTGCTCTCACACCTGTGGTATTAAGAAATGCCTAAAGATGTGGCCTCCAGAAAAATCGTTTCTCACACTGGTCATGTGCAGTGGGTCAGAGGGCAGCACAGCCCCAGGTCTCAGCCTAACCAACACACCAAAAGGCAGAGAAAACAACAGTCCTGTGTTATCGTCTTCTCCTGCAGCATTTAGAACTTTGCATCACTTTACCCCAGTGATCAAAGTTGGCATCCCTGAGAAGACACTCTGGCTTTCCCTGCCTCTTGATGTCGTACCTCTGGGTGGTACATGGCAACACCAAAGACAGGTCCCTGCCAAAAATGTTCCATTGCAATCCAATCCAGCCTTTAGACCCAACTGCCAGTTCAAAGGGCATTACAGGGAATAAGAACAAGTCAAATGATCCCTCCAGGAAACAGTCACACAAACCAGAAGACGGGACATTCCCAGAAACACCCAGGCAGGTTCTTCAGAGTCTACGTTATAAAGAATAAGTGCCGGTAGGGGGCGCATTGCTCTAGGGGAGACTAACAGCCAATACAGCCAAATGCATGAAACTTGACTGGATCCTGATTTTTTTTAAAAAAAGATATTCTGGAGTCAGTTGGGGAAGTTTGAATACGGATGGGGCACTAGATGATAATGGAGACGACTGTTAATTTCTGAGCTGGAATTCCAGATTTGTGGTATGTAGGAAATGCCTTCATTCTTAGAAGGTGTTGAAGGGTTTGGAAGTGAAAGGGTAGGAGGGTTCAGCAATATTTATGGACCGACTGGCAAATGTACCAAAATTACTGCAATCGTTGATTCTGGGAGATGAATCACTGCATTGTTCTTTCAACTTCTCTGGAAGTTTGAGAATTTTAAAGATAAAGGGTTGGGTGGGGGAGTTCATGCATGTGACATCTCCTTGACCAGACACCCTGCCCCTCACTTTATGGCTCTGGAGGTGGCTCCCAGCAGCCAAGGCCGAGGCCACTCATCTGACCAGTGCAGGGCTGAGCTCCCACTTGGTGTTCCAATCCCCTCACCTCCCTAGGTTCCATTCCCGGAGACTGAGGCCAGGATGAGCCAGGGAGCTGGGGTGGGTCTCCAGATGAGAGACTGAGGCTCACAGCTTGCAGAGCTTTGTGACACATGTGTCCCCACGGCACGCCAAAGCTGGCCTCGCCCACTTCAGAGGCCTCTAGTGGGTGCGCCATTGGGAGCTAGGTGATGGGTGGGAGAGGCAGTCATTTTCCTTTCTTTCTTAATTTTTTTTTTTTTATTTAACTGTGGATTCTGCCTCGGTCTACCAGTCTGGGAGGTATCCATCCCAATCCTGTGAGACTGGCTAGCAATAAAAAGTCAATGTTTCTAACTTGCCACTAGAGGGCACTGGTTCCATGGGACTGACAACCTCCCCCACCCCTCCTCCTCAGTCCACCCCACTTCTCTCAACCCAATGGCTCTGAGGGGCTCCGCCTTCCTTTTGGGGGGTGGCCCAGAGCCAGCAATGGGGAGCTGCCCCAAGTTCAGCCCCACCCACAGGGGACTTAATTCAGTCCTTCAGCACAAACCCAGACATTTTTCTGAACAGGACCATACTTTTGTTGCAAAACTTTGAGGCACTTTTGTATTTTAATTTGGGCAGGAATTATTTTATGGATCCGGAAACGCAAGTTTTAACATCTTTCTGCCCTCCCTGCTCTCCTGCCTCAGGGCTACAATGAGCTTCTCCCAGACCTGCCCCCCTCCCCCCCACCCCATGGACATCCCAGGCAGGGAGATGGGAAGAAAGCCTCCTGCATCACTTCCCACCACCGGAAGGGAGGAGAGCAGTGCCCCGAACCTGAGGGACAGCATAAGGTGGGTGTGCGTCCGTGCACAATATCACAAATGACCACAGCTAACAGCTGGTCCTGTCAGTGACCCATTTTACAGAGGTGCAGACATTTGCCAGAGACAGTAACCCAGCCTTGGCAATGGAGCCAGGGAGAAGTCAGCCTGGTGGAGAGCTTTGGACAGTTTGTGGAGCCCCTGTAGAGATCCGGGCTGAGGGCCCAAGGGTTCTCTGAACCTGTGAGGTGTGATGTGATAGAAGAACAGAGGAAAGCTGGATTGTTTGTTTTGTTTGGTTTTGGTTTTGGTGAGGAAGATTGGCCCTGGGCTAACATCTGTACCAATCTTCCTCTATTTTGTATGTGGGTTGCCGCCACAGCATGGCTGATGAGTGGTGTAGGTCCACATCCAGGATACGAACCTGCGAACCCCGGGTGTGCCAATTTAACCACTAGGCCACCAGGCCAGCCCCAGAAAGCTGCGTTTTAAGCCTGGCCCTAGCTCTTCCCACCCCAGAGAAGGAGAGGGATGCGATGCTTAGACAAAGACCCAGGCCTACATCCTGCCCACCTGCCCACCTCCCCCACCTCCCTCCTGCATCTTCCCAGCTTCCCTCCCCTCCCCCACCTTCCTGCTTCTCTCCAGTCTCCCCCCCCCTCCAGAATCTCCCCACCTTTCCCCCTCCTCCCTTCAGCACTTTCCCTGCCTCTCCCCACAGCCTGGCCAATCTCAGTTCTTTCCTGCACTTTGGCATCTGACCCTACGTGGGGCTCCTTCTACCCATTGGCGCCCCTCTTCTGGGACTCCACAATGCACCCGCCACCTGTCTCTCCCTGTCCAATGACACGCTGTGCCACAATCATGGTTGAGTGTATTTCTCCTCTTGGCCTGCGAATAGGAACTGCGTCTTATTCGCTAGCTGTTCATCCAGCGCTTGAAGTGACTTCACTGCTTGTTAGTAGAAATAACAAAACGGGAATGGTAATGGCCACCTCGCAGTTGTAATTATTGAGGAATGCATGCAAAAATGTCTGGTGCAGAAAAGGTCTTTGATAAATGTTTAAGAAAACAGGTTTTTGTTTCGTTGCGTTTTGGCAGCAAGAGCAAATAGTGAGAGACCCCATCACGCGTAATCAGGGACTCTGGAATGAGGGCCGCGGGGCCCAAGTGCCTGTCTGCATGCGCTCTCTGCTTTGGGTCACTGAAGCCTACTCCAGCCTATGCGGTAAATTATAACTTCTCCATTTGACACGTGCAAAGAGCGGCCCTGTGAGAATGGGTGACTTGCTCAAGGTCACACCAGGAGCCAGGATTTGCTTTAAAGTAAGAATGCTGATCTTGAGCACAGTGCAAAAGCTCAGAAAGAGAAAAGGACCCAATTTCCCTCCTGCTGTGGGCGATTTGCCTCGTTTTAGCCAGAATATCACAGCATGAATCAGAAAAAATTAGGGGCTTCCAAATTCCACCCCTCAGACCTAGACACACAGGTTGCTGGGACCTCCAGGCGAGGTCTCACCAAAAGGTTTGAAAGAGGTGGGATTCAAGGGAAATTGGCCTTAGAGTCTCTCCCTCCCCCCAGGTCTCCAGGACAAAAGCTCTGTTAATATGCACATCTTTGGGGGTGGGGTGGGCTGGATTGGGTTGGGGCAGGCTTTTCAGCCACCATCCAATATTTGACCAGCTTAATCTGGAGCCCAGAGAGCCGGGGAGGCCAACACTGGGCTAGCCCGGGGTGGGGATGCTGCCACGAGACCTGCCCAGGCAGTAGGAGAGCCCAGAGCCAGGTCCTCAGCCAGGAACTCTCCCTTTCTCCCGGGACACAGTTGGCAGGAGCCTGGTCGGCTTGTCTTTGTTGGCCCGGCTCCCCTCCTGGTTCTGGGCTGAGTCCATGAGGCCATCAGTCCACTGGAGGCACGTGGAGCCCGATTTCCCCTCCCCAGTGAGTCCAGCAAGCCCATGTCACAGGAAGTCCCGCGAGCCTCCCTGATGCCCCCATAGTCACAGGTCCACCAAGTTGGCTGGCACTGGGCTTCCCAGCAGGGTCCACCCACATCCTCTCAAGACTTTCTTCCAGCCACCTAGTCCCCTATCCCACTGCTGAGGCCTGCAGCCCCCCTTATTTCTCCAAGCTGCTGTGAACCCCTATGTCTGTCCTGGCAGCCTGCACCCCAGGCCTCCCTGCGACTCACCTCTCCGGGTCCCCACTCCAGAGGCAGAGATGCTGGGGGTTCTCTGAGGGCCCCAGGGCCAGAGTCAGCCTCAGCTAGCCTGGGGAAGAACTCCGGGAAAGTGGAACAGGAAGTTCCCTGCCCCGTCCCATCCAGGTGAAGAGGGGGCTTCCCAGAGTTAACCCTTAACCTCCCAGTTTGGGAGCCAGGTGGTAAGAGGGCGGGGCCAGAGAAAGAAAGTGGCTGATCCAGATTCCAACCCAGGACTGTGTCTCAGAGTCTAACTACCCCACAGGTAAGAGCCGACTCCTCCTACTCAGGGCTGGCCCTGTGCCTCTGAGGGTTCTGTCACCCTGTACTTTTTTAAATGTCTGGTGTGTGCCGGGCTCTTTGCTAGGCAATCCATTCACGCGACACATCTTTGCCAAGTGCTTGCTGTGTGCAGGCAGCGGTAGGTGCTGAGGACAGAGAGGTAAACTGGAGGAACAGGCGCTGACCTCCCGGGGCTCACAGGCCCCATGCATGAGCAAACAGTGGTGGATGTTCAGAAGGAAACAGTACAGTACCATGTGGTGAGAGAAGAGAGGGTGCCATCAACTGTGCCACCTAAAGTCCTCCCAAGAATCCTGCCAGGTGGCTTTTGTCCCAGCTCTACCAATGACGAGGCAGGGGCTCCCAGGAGGGGAAGTGACCTCACCACTGGCCATGAGCCCAACTCCAACTCCAGGCAAGCCTTTCCCCTTGCCCTAACGGGCCTTTTTGGGTCGGGCCCGTGGCCGCAGCCTGTAGGGCGCTTTCCTCAGGGGAGTCCGCGGTGCCCCCCTGCGAGTTCAGGGACCGTGGGCACCCCCCACGGCATCACCTGTCCCGGGGACCCGGGGCCACCTGCTCGGTGTCCAGAGGCTCGGGGCTGGCCGCCCCTCGGCCCGGGCCCGTCGGGGCCAGACCCCGAGCTAGCTCTGACTCCTCTGCCGGGTCGTTGTCTTCCTGCATTTGACAGCACCTGGGCTTATCCAGTTCCTTTAACTGTCTAGCGTGAGCCTCGCTGGACCACAAGCTCCCTGCGGCCATGGTGTTTCCCTTGTCTGCTCCGCATCCTCCGCGCCCGGCCCGGCGCCTGGCACAAGTCAGGACGGAAACGGCTGAGGAGCAGCCCACGGGGCCCGCCGCCCTCCGAAGTCCGCTGCGCGCCCGGCACCCGGCGCTCCACAGCGCGGACTCGCCGCGGCAAGATTCGGGTTTGGACTCGGGCGGCGTCCTCCCGCCGGGCTGCTACGGCCGCCCCTGGGCGGGGCCGGGGCGAAGCCGGTCGGAGGCGCCTCCTGCACACCCAGACCCGGGGTCCCACCCGCCCCTCGCACTGCTGCCCCTGCCCCTGCCCCTGCCCCCAGGACTGACTTGCGCCCCCATGGCTGTGGCCTTCGAGGACATGGTCGAGTCTGAGCCCTGCGGGTGGGGGCGGCTGAACCGCGAGCAGCGAGCCCTCCCCAGTGGGTCCAGCACCTTCGTACGGAGGTGATGTGAAAGAACCGCGGGAACGTAGCCTCTCCGGGTAAAGACGCAACCTGGGGGCTCGGGGCCTCGGGCCTGCAGCGGCCGGAGTGTGAGTTGGGGGAGCTGGCTGGGGGCACAGCGGAAGGGCTTGGTGTTCGCTGTTAACACGGACTTCCAGGGCCTCCGACTGCGGCGCACACTTTTCCTGGAAATATGTCAGAAAAGCAGAGACAAGCTTGACCCAGCCACTAGAAACAGCCTCCAGGCAGAAAGGCAGGTGCCTGGAATGAGACACCGACACCAGCTTCTGGCCTCCGTCATCCCTAAACCTCTGCCCAGGTGTGCACTTCGCCTAATATCCCTGCTCCTGGCCCGCCGCTTGCGTGCACCATCCATTCATTCATTCATTCGGAAAATATTCGCTTCCGCGGTGTGTGTGGCCCCAGGGACGCAGCACTGAATGGAACGGACAAGTGCTGCCCCCGTGAGGCCTACAGTCTGGGCAGGACTGGGTCACGGAAGCAGGGACTCCTTTTGACTTCTTCTACTAACTTAAATTACTTTGCAGAAAAAAAGGGGTTAATGAACATGAGTCCCTTCACATTCTTCCTGATGGCTGAAAATACACTCCTCTCTCCCAGAGTGTTATCCACTAATAGACGAAAATTCTTGTGAAGTCCCTGCATTGTTACTTACCTCCGTTTAGTAAGCGATAAACACGTCCCCAAAGGACTTTTAATATAAATCTACCTATTTGGGGTATATTTCAATATCTCCTAAAATTATCTTGAAAATGCACACAAACTATTCCAGTTGTTACCTTAGATTTTTTTTTTTTTGGAAGTGATTGGTGTCTAAAACAAAAAACAAAAAAACCAACCAAACCCCAAATTACCATTTATTTATTAAATGTGAAAAAAATTTTACATCTAGTATCATCCAGGTCAACAAAAGCACCTGAAAATACTAACTGATGGGGTCTTCATCTTTCCTCTCATCTCTTCAGAGGTTGCAAAAGAGAAACGACTTTTCCTGTATATTCAGTTTCCATAGGATTCCTCCATTTACAATAATTCGAGGCAAAGGGAGAATCCTTCTCCGGCTCAGGAAAGAATTACTACTAAAAGTGCCATGATCCCTTGACCACCCTCTGTTAATCCAGCCGTTTAAGTGCGTGTCTCTAAACTGCGTTAGTAGCGTCTTTTCCTGCAGCCGTAACTCTGGCATTTTCATCTGGCAGCTGCAGTCTTGAAGGAGTAACTGCAGGGTGTTTGTGACACAGCCAGACCCCTCGTACAGAAGCATTGGGGATTTTGATGAGAACACGAGGGGTTCTTTTCCTTGTGTCCGTCCCAGTCTTCTTCAGCGTCTGTAAATTTGCTGTCCCCCAAGTTTCTCATCTTCTCCCATTGGCAGGAGCCAGTCTTTGCCTCAATGGCCCAAGCTGCAGTCTCAGTTTTGCCATTTGCTGCTGTCTGTGTGACTTCAGCAAATTATTTAATTGAATCCTTTCACTCTGCTGCTCAAAGCTCTTCCGTGGCTTCCCATTGCCCTTAGAACTAAATCCAGACAGCTCACCTGAGGGCCCACCCACAGCCCCTTCCTACCACGGATTTCATCTTCTGCGCTCTTTTCCTTTGCCTGCCATGATCCAGTCACCATCTTTCAATTCCTGAACACCCCTCTCTGACCCCACCTCCCTGCCCCGACTGGGATGAATGCTTTCCTTCCCACCCCTGCTTTGCTAGTTCCTTTTCATCCTTAAATTTCAGTCTCCATGGGGAGACTGCTTCTGTCCAGGCTTCTCTTCCTGAGAACTCTCTTGGCTTCTGGGACTCACACACTTGTATTTTCTTGCTTTCTTTCTTTCTCTACTTCTCCAGTTGTCTCCTCTCATTCTTCTTCACCAACTTCTCTCTCTCTTTTTTTTTTTTTTTTGCTGAGGAAGACCGGCCCTAAGCTAACGTCTATTGCCAATCTTCCTCCTTTTTCCCCCCTTTTTCTCCCCAAAGCCCCAGTAGATAGTTGTATGTCATAGTTCTACATCCTTCTAGTTGCTGTATGTGGGACACCACCTCAGCATGGCCGGACAAGCGTGCCCGGGATCCGAACCCAGGCTGCCAGTAGCGGAGCATGCACACTTAACCGCTAAGCCATGGGGCTGGCCCCCAACTTCTCTTTCTTTACCTGACCATTAAATACCAGCATTCTGCCAGGGCTCCCACCTAGGGGGCCTCTTCTCACTCCATTCCCTCCCGGCCTCCAGTGATCCCTGCCTCTTGTTAATCACACCACTGTGTAATCCACTCCCCTTGAGTGTCAGCTGAGTTTAGTGATTGCTTCTAACAATCAGAACCAGTGGTAATGACGGGGTGTCACTTCTGAGACTGGGTTGCACCCTCTCTCCTCTCTTGCTTGCTCACCCTGGGGGAGGCATGTCTGAGCAAAGGCCCATCTGGTGACAGACCAAGGCTAGCCAGCTTGGATCCCCCATCCCACATCAAGCTTTAGGAGGAGACCACAGCCCTAGCCATCAACTTGACTACAACTCTTGACCTTGAGCTAGAGGCACCCAGCTAAGCCCTGTCAGGTGCAGAAACTGTAAGATAATAAGCATTTGTTTTAAGCTGCAACATTTTGGGATCATTTGCTATGCAGCAGTAGATAACTAAATATACCCCCCTCGGTGGTTTCATAGCTGCTGTGGCCTCGATAACCATTCTCAGTGCCAATACTCATGTATTTATATTTTGCTTCTCAGCTCTTTATCCACTTGTCGTTGCTACTTGGATGTCTTGTGAAAGCTTCAAAGTCTTCATGCTCAAAACGAAATTCACCCAGCCACTGAAACGCCAGCTCCGGGAGAGTGGGCTTTGTTGCCGTTCACGGCTGTGTCCCCAGCGCCAACACACAGCAAATCCTCACTAAATGTGGACTGAATAACCCCACATCAAACCTGTGTCTTTCCTGCTATTCTCTAGTTCGATAAACATAGTACAATCCATTCAGTCACTCAAGCCAGAAATTGGGATTTATTCTTCATGCCCTCACTTTACCTCATCCTCACATTTCGTCAGTCTCCAAGTTCCATAGTTCTGATGGTTAAATATTTTTCAAGTCTGCCTGTTTCTCTACCTCCACTGCCACAACCCAAGTCTAGTCACCATCGTCTCTTGCCTGGACCATAGCAATGGCCTAACTGGTTTCTCTTCATTCACTTTTTTTTTTAATGTAAAGTTTTAGGTGTAATATATAGAAATGTATACAAACCAAAAATGAAAAGCATGATGAATTTCCATCAAGGGAAAACAGCCATTTAGCCAGCATCCTGACCAAATCAGAATTTACCAGCACTCCCGTGGCTGCTCTGCTGCCCACTTCTGGTCGCTTCCCCTTCCCCATGATCACTATCCTGACTTCCAACCACAGCAGATGTGTTTGGTCTGTTTTTGAACTTCGTGTAAATGAAGTCACACAAAAGGAACTCTTCATCTGGCCTTACTCCACAGCGGGGGACTCATCCGCTGAATGGTATTCCCTGTTGCGTTATTTATTCATTCTACTGTGGCTAGATGCTGGGTGGTTTTCAGTTTAGGGCACCATCTAGTGGTTCTTATACATCTCTGCTGACCATATATGTGAGTTACTGCTGGGTTTGTACCCAGGAGTTAATCGCTCTGTCACAAGGTATGTGGATGTTCAGCTTTAGACGATTCTGCTACACACTTGTCTAGAGAGCTTGTGTCGTTTCCCCTCCCACCGTCTGCACATTCATCTTGTGCATTTCTTGCAGTCCTAGGATCAGCCATTTCTCCAAGGAGCCCTGATTCCTATCATTAGCTGGTTTCTTTTTCACATTATAAAGCACAATAGTATTTGCTTTATAGAAAAATAGAATTTTTAAAAGGATGAGACAAAGCAAAAACAAATGAAAGTTCTACATTTTTCACACCCAATGGAGTAAAAAGAATATAAAAGATGCTTGTGAAAGACCCTGTGACACGTGGAAAAGGGATGGGGGTGGGGGACAGATTGCAGCAGGATGAAGGGCTGAAAACATCAGCTGGAAAGGACATCAAGGGTGGGTGCCTGGGTTCCACTGCCAGCTGCTCCCGTGAGGGCCTCTGGTAGGGGTCCTCTGGTGCTGAGCCGGTCAGGATGCCTCCTAAGTGCCCCGTCCCCACCTGCTTCTGTGTCTTTGGCTTGCATGAGTGAATGTAGCCTGAAACTCTAGGTATCAGAGCAGGAGGAGCAGCAGCGAAGGGTATTTTGGGATGATGACAGTGTCCTGATTTCCTAAAAACGCACCAACCTCTACAAGGAAAGTAACTTAATTTACTCTAATTTCCACCCCAAAGGGCCAGCCAGAGTGACTATTAAGCTTAGTTTCAATAGAGTGTGTGTGTCCCGTGTCCCCCACTCCCCGCCCCATGCTGTAAGCTATCGTTAGCTCCCAAGTAGAGACAATATTCTGGAAGGTGGGACATGGATGTCTGGGGAAACATATCCAGTCTACCCTATTAAGTTTGGGGGCTTTTTGACCTTTCTGTTCACAGCTTGCCTGGCTGAGGCTGAAGCTGCCAGCCTTGACACTCATGGAAAGAAGAGCTTGGTGTTGCCACCTGGGGAGGAGACTCCTGTCCTCCTGGAGCTTGCCCAGAGCAGGAAAAAGCTGTTTCTGCTGACTGCAACGGGCAAGCTGCCTGGCCAGCATCACTGCTCAGACCCAGCAGCCAGGCTTGGCGTTGGCAGCCTCTCCACCGGCCCTATTTGCAAGATCAGGTGTTAGTCTTGCTCACTCACCGGAAAGGAGCAAAGTCTCCCTGATAATAGCTGCTGGATAGTTCTAGTTGCTGCAAGGCAAGGGTATGAAGAATAGGGTGATGAGTAGGGCCTGGTTAAAGAAATTGTGACATGGCCATGCAATGGAACATGCTACAGTTAAAAAACAGCAAGGCACCGCTTGAGGACTGCAGAAGTCTCGGCACACCACCACCCCGTCCAGACCTGCACCAAGAGACCTGACCAAACTTGGGCATGGCTTCTGGGAGCATAGGGCTCGGGTGAGCCCAGCCCCCCATTAGATGCTGGCCTGAGAAAGGAAGCTCAACGCTGCTGCCAGGAGAATTTACTGTTTGTTTTACCAACGCCTGCTGAGAGGCCCCTGACCTCCCTTTCTTCCAGCATTTACTAAAAAGGGCTCATAATTGTGAATATGTGTCTCTACAATGCAGAAGCATCTGTCACAGAGCTGAGAGCCATTCCTTTGAAATGTACTCGTCGGGAAGGACAGGGCCTCTGCGTCCCTTCTCCTGGGAGGATAGCTTCCCGAGGGCCGTAACTGCCACCAGCAGACACACCTGGCCTCATCTCATCTACACTGATCAGCTCCTTGTGATGTTTCTGTCCTTGACGACTGAGCCCCGCTCTCCCCAGCCCTCATTCTCCCTTTAAAACGCCCACTCACCTCTGCACAAATCAGAGCTCAGCTCTGTCCCTGCTGTCAGTGTTACCGAGTAAAAGCTGCTTCCCCCGCTTTAACTAGTGTCCGCCTGTTTGTCCTTGACACGCTGCATGTTTTTTTGTTTTTTCTGTATTTTTCTCTATGCTTTTTACATTGAACAATCTCTAAGGTATGTCACATACACAGAGCGGGCAGGTCAGCCGCATAGGGTATACTCCCCTTTTTGAAACAAAACAAACGAAAATTCAGAACAGGTGAGTGTGGGGCGGGACCGGGTCTCTGGGCCGGAATTCGCGCTCCCGGGTCCCCAGCGTGGAGGCCCGGCGCCGGGGCTCTTGCGCAGAGGGCCTTCGAGCAGCCAGCCTCAGTTTCCCCACGGGGGACGCCGACTCGAGGGCTCGCGGGTGTCCACCCTGCGGTCTTCACCGCCCCGGACGCCCCCGCGCCCGCGGCCCAAGCGAGCGCCGCGAGAGAGCCAGGAAAACCGGAAGTTGGAACGGGGCACCCGGACCAGAAACGCGAGGACACCCGCGAGAGTCAGGCGGCAGCAGGGAGCCCCTGCCCCCTCGGCAGGATTGCCCCTCGAGGGCGCGGACGGGAGCGCGCAGGTGAGGGCGGCTGGGAGGAGCCCGGAGCTGGGCGGGGCCTTCGGGGCGCCAGCCAATCACCGGCGTCTGCCGTGGGCACGCGCGCGGGACAGCGTCGTTGCCTGGGCGACATGCTCCTCGAGTCGGTGTTCCGCGGGGTGCGGAGCTGGGCAGCGCCGACTCTTGCTAGCGGGGCTCCTGGGCCTCCCCGGGCTCCGAACGCGCCTCCCTGCGGCCGCCAGCATCAGGGAACGGGGCCGCGGGGTCGCCTCGCGCCTCCGGGGGTGAGCGGGCGGCCGGCCGCATGAGCTCTCATGACCTGAGGGTTCCAGCGGCCCTGGGGTTCTTATTTTTCTTCTTCTTTAAAAAAGTTTTATTCCTGGGGCCCCACCTAACACCTACACTGGTTTCCTTTTCTTCTTTTTCAGTGGTTAATATTTGCTCTGCTGTTTACTCGATTATTAATTTTATTTTTGGCCTCTCTTACATTCCTTTATTTTCTCCTATCCTCTCTCCTTCCTAAGGCTGGATCTCTGCATTGCCCTGTCTCCAGCCTGGCTTCACCGCCTTAATTAGTACAAGTTAGTTTGTTTTTTTTCTTCAGACGATTCTTTTCTTCTAGTTTTTATTATTCTGGACGTTTTCTGTAAGGTCCTCTTTAAGACCTGAGTCAGCTTTCAGGCCGGTCTGTGAAAGTGGATCATGATTTATTTCCTAATGGTGGCGTCTTCTCCTTACTCAAGCTCAGTGAGGCTGCATTTGTTGAGTGTTTCCGGTGCCCGAAGCTCCGATAAGCGCCTTCATCCATGATAGTTATGCTTGTGACAGGCTCCTGAGGTGAGTACGTCCCTAAACTGGTGTCCTATGAGCTGGACAGCAGGTGTTTTCTGCTGGAGTTGTATGGAGTTCTAAAATTTTTAATCACCAACATTTAAAAGTCAAGATGCTTCACGTAGAAATCGAATTCTTTTTGGCTTCTCTTGAAAAATCTTAAAGCTTTGTCAATACTGGGCTCCCAACCGCCCCCATTAAACAAAAGATGGTTTCCTGAGGCCCTTGAAATCCCTCCCCAGTCTGCTCTTACACCCAAGGCACTGGTCATTTATGGTACTGCCTGGTTGCTGGAGGCATCTAGGTTTTTAATCTCTGCTTTACTTTTTGACTCTGCCTTTCCTGGTGCCTTTCTTTCTTTCTTTTTTTTTTTTTTTGTGAGGAAGATCAGCCCTGAGCTAAGATCCATGCTAATCCTCCTCTTTTTGCTGAGGAAGACCGGCTCTGAGCTAACATCTATTGCCAATCCTCCTCCTTTTTTTCCCCCAAAGCCCCAGTAGATAGCTGTATGTCATAGCTGCACATCCTTCTAGTTGCTGTATGTGGGACGCGGCCTCAGCATGGCCGGACAAGCGGTGCGTCAGTGCGCGCCTGGGATCCGAACCCAGACCGCCAGTAGCAGAGTGTGCACGCTTAACCGCTAAGCCACGGGGCCAGCCCTCCTGGTGCCTTTCTGAACTCTTTCAGGGACTGCAGTTTCCATGCAGCAAATGTAATAACTCTTCCTGCTTGACCTGCTCAGTCCTACAGCCAGCCCTCGAAGGTTTTCCTTTCACTTCCAAGAAGGGGTGAATGTCTGTCATATAGCAGGTGCTCAATAAATATTTTCTGAACAGTTAAGTAAATGTTGAGATTTCATTTGGTCTAGTTTAGGCGATATCATGGTGGGCTCCAAACCTCTTGGGGGGATGAAATGGTCCATCTCAGGAGTGAGTTTCCTTACTCTGGACACTGGCTGTGCTCCTCATTTGATGGAGAAACACTCACAGACTGAGCAGTTCATCTTTTCCAGGCAGCCTGTGGCTTTTTCTGTTTTGAGCTCTCTCGTGTGTGCTTGAAAACAGTATTGATTTTTGCTACAACTTTGTACATCCCTCTTTGCCTTGAGGATTAAAACACCTGGAAATACTGACTAGAGACAAACCCCAGGGGTAGTTTTTCTTTCATCAAAGTGACAGTGGAATCGATCAGAACCCTAGGACTCCTAAAACGTATTTAACTCCAAAAGCAGAGATGCAAACTCAAAATGCTGCAGGGACAGAGTGCGACAACCTGAGAGCAGGCCCCATATGTGGGGAGTATGAGCCCAGGGTTGCCGGATGTTCTGATTTTTCAAGAAAATCAACTTTATGAGAACTCTCCTAATTTTTAAATGTTGGAAACTTAGTTTTAAAAAAATTAAACCCTTTGAGTCCACCCAGCACAGCCATGGGCTGGTCCAGGGGCCAGCTGCGCCTGTCTTCCTGAGTGAAGGGGATGCATCTCAGAGGACTCTGCTGGGCTGAAGGCGGTGAGCGTGGGAACTTTTCCTGGAGGAACTTTTCTGGAATATGACTCCATATTCCAGAATGGGCCCCCACCCCTTTCCTGACACCCATCCTGTATGCCCTGCTCGGGAGAAATAGGTTCCTCACACCAGAAGGTGAAGTGTAGTCTCTGTCCTTCCATTTTGGAGGCCTTAGTTCTCAGGGTCCCAAGGAAAAACAGATACTGAGGGGTGGAATATGAAGCCGCCAGGGATGTCTGAGGGTCTGGGACCCCATGGAGAGCTGGGTCAGACCCCTTTACCCCCGCTATCCCCAGCCTTGAGAAGGAGCTGGGGGGAGGGGATCTAGAAAAATCAGATTGATCCCACATCTTTCCAAAGTGTGGGGCATCAGGGGGTGGGGGTAGAGGGGAGTTCCCAGACGTCTCTGTTTCCTAAGTTCACTTTTAGGGAGAGAGAACTCTGTGCCAGTCCTGGGGGGAACCCAGAGGACCTGCTGACTGACCTGGGGGCCTTAACTGAAATCCAGGGACGTCTCCATGGAGACACCGTAAGACCTTCAGAAGCCCTGTGTGCTGAAAAGGACCACGGAGCCCTCCACCCAGCAAAGTACCCTTTGTCCTGTCAGGACAGCTGCAATATTCTCTTTGAAACATCAAATATCAAAGTCCTTCCACAAAATGTGTTTTCCCATTTTGGCGCCCCTGCTTTGGTGGTATCACAAGTACACGCAGGCAATGGGGATCTGAGAGTCACCTCCCGGCCAAGAGCAGGTGCAGCAGGGCTCCGGACCCCAGACCCGGAACCCTCGAAGCCGGGAACCCTGTAGGGCTGCAGCTGCACGGGGAACGGGATCTGGGAGGGACTTCCTGTTGTCCCTAATCCCAGTCTCCACCCGGCTCCCCGTGCCCAGTGCAGGCTGCGGAGACTCCCTTCCCCAGGGAGGGGCCCCCACTACCCAAGGTGCCCCCTCCACCTCCACCTTGGTGAGAGGGGTGCAGGGGAGGGTGCCTGGATCCTGAGATCCATGCGGGTGGCCAGCTGGCAGGAGGGGAGGGGTCAAAGGTGGAAGGCTTCAGGCTGGCGGGGAGAGAAGAGGGCCTGGACCCGGGTTCGGGAAGGGGAAGAATACCGTCGGTCCGGGACTGTGAGCAGGAGGGACTCCTGGCCCCGGGCGGGTGGTTGCAGCCACAGGAAGGGCTGCTGAGAGCAGGCGACTCAATTTCTGGATCCTAGGCGGGCTGAGTCAGGCCGAGTGCAGGGTGTGTGTCTTGGGCTGGGAAGGTGGTGGGGCCTGGATTCCTTGGCAGAGCTGGCTGCGGCGGGTGGGGCCCCACCAGCACCTGTTTTGTAGGATGTCTGCAGAACTTTCAGCTCCTGATGACAGGAGATACAGATTCCGAGTTGGCCCTGGCTTGCCCTGAGCCGGTTGCTCTGAGATGTGGAGGTCTTGCTTCACTGACAAAGGGGACAATACTAAATAGCTTTCTGTCGAAGTGAGGGGCCAAAAACATCTAGAGAGTGAGGCCATCAGATGGCATCACGGGGGCTTTATTTCTTTTTGGGGGGGCTTTGTTTCTGATTGGGCACAGGGATGGGTCTGGTCCTGCATGGGGATTTTTGGGGTGCTTCAGAGGCGTCCAGGAAATGCTGGCTGATTTCTTTCTGCTCTTCCAGGCTCCTCGCCGGGAGCTGGAGGGGGCTTGGCCACCAAGAGAGTGCTGTGCCTTTTATCTCTGAGAGAGAAAATGTCTGCAGATGGCAGAGGCATCTGGGCTACCCAGGACAAGGAGAAGGCCCGAGAGGTATGGACAGGGGCACTAGGCAAGGAAGGCATGCCCGGGAAGGAACTGGAACGGGAGAGGATTTTCAAGGCAGGGCATCTGCAACAGTGGAAGAGCCAGACTCACTGCGGGGGTAGGGCTGGTGGATGGGGGGAGGCGGGTGTTGAAGAGAAGGTGGTATGATGGGAAATGCCTTCTACCTGGGATCGACTTCTGCGGAACTGCATTGCTTTGCCTGGTGAATTCCATAGTCGGCAGACCAAAGGCCACACAAGAGAGCAGGGAGGCTGCACGAGGGTCCTACTGGTGGGGCTGTCTCTCTGAATAGCACCCAGAGCACACAGGGAAGCCTCAGTCTACCCTCCACTCCCTCTGCCTAGGACCCTGTCTCCTCTCTCTCTGGGTCTGAGCACCTAGTCCTTCCTGTACCTGTTGCCTGTGTGTGTAATTACAGCCTGCAGGGTGTGTGCATGTGTGTGTGTGTAATTACAGCCTGCAGGGAGACCAGGCTCACTAGGTTTGGAATCAGAGGAATATTAGTTAGCTGCAGCCAGGTATGTGAACCTAGCAAGTCCCCTGGCCTCTGGGAAGCAGGCATGTCATTTGTAAAATGCGGACATTGTGTCTGCCATCCCACTCACCTTGCCCAGGTCATTGAGGGGGTCAGAGGCGGTAATAGGCCTGCGAGTCCTCTGTAACAGTTAATCAGCCCATAGGAGATCATTATTTTAACACATAAAACAGGAGCACCCACAGCAACTAGACTAGGTCAGGGAAACCTGTATCCCCTCAACTAGTATTTCCAGTGGTTGTAGGTACAAATACAGAGTATCAGTTCTACCATTTTCACATCATGGAAGCACAAAGAATTGTTACCACTGTTCGGTTTCCCTTCCACAATGCGTTTGTAACACAGACAGGCCTCACACGTCCACCACATTCTCTGCTGATGTTGGAATCTGTCAGCTCACACAGTAGAGTAATAATAATAATTACCGGCGCCGCTCTGTGTTTATCCAGAACTTTGCAGAGTGGGCAGTTCTTTCTCACGTATTATCTGTGCAGGAGGCAGAGCAGCTAAGTCTCAGAGGCCGCCTGGCTCCTCTGGCTCCCAGGCACTCTGACTCCTGGCCAGAGGGTTTTTCCTTTCGAGACACACACATAGATGGGGTGGAGGGGTAGGCTTGAGTTCCCAGCAGAAGGCTGGCCAGTCCCTGTGCTATGGCTGATGCTCCTGCGAGGGAAGTGACTCCCAAAGCTCTTGAGGTTTTCGGAGAGGCTGTGCCTGCTCAGGGTTGAATGGCTAGTGAGGGGCTGTTCTGGATTTGAATGCTGGTTGTATGAGTAAAGCCTGCTCCTCACCCTCAGAGGGCTGGGGCTGAAGCTGGTGTGAAGAAGTAGGGACGAGTCAGGAGACCCTGGAAGTCCCACTGTGGGGGGTGGTGCTGAAGGTGGTGAGCCCAAGAGGAGTTTTCCATCAGAACCAGGTAGGCGCAAGGCCTCGGCACAGTTAGTGGCACCCTTAGGCTTTTTTTCTCTAAGCTAAAAAACCCCAACTGTTCTGGCCAAATTGAATTGGGCCAGAAATGGCCCAAGGCCACATGATGCCTCCCTGTCACCTACAAGACCTAGTTGCCCCGGAGGTAACTTAGGAGTCAGATACACTTGAGTTCAAATCCTGGCTGAGCCACTCATGAGCTCTGTGATCTTGGGCTGTTGTCTGATCTCTGAGCCTGGGTGTGTTAGTGTTCTGGGGCTACCGTAACAGATCACCACAAACCAGGCGACTTAAAACAACAGGAATTTATTCTCTCACGGTTCTGGAGGCCAGAAACCCAAAATCAAGGTGTCAGCAGAGCCTTGCTCCCTCCTAAGGCTCTACGAGGGGTTCCTTCCTCACTTCTTCCAGCTTCTGGTGGCTCCAAGTGTTCCTTGGCTAGTGGCAGCATCGCTCCAATCTCTGCCTCTGTTGTCACACGGCCTTCTCCTCCATGTTTCCATGTCTCCTCTTTTTATAAGGACACCAGTCTTTGGATGTAGGGCCCAGTCTAAGTCCAGGATGATTTCATCTCAAGATTCTTAAGTAATTACATCTGCAAAAACCTTTATTTGAAATAAGGTCACATTCTGAGTTTCAGGGCGGACATGAATTTGGAGGGGACCCTATTCAGCCCACTACACTTAATTTTCTCATACATTAAAACATAACTCCACACTGCTGGGGGAGGGGTGAGGCTTGCATTGAGAAGAGGCACCTGCAGTGGGCAGGGCCTTGTTGAGCCTGCCCTCTTTCTGTTGCTGGGGTGAGCAGGAGAGGCATGGTGCCCAGGGATGGAGAAGGAAGCAACGCCAGTCCTTCAAGCTGTGCCTTGTCTTTGGGTGTGCGTTCAGCCACCTGAGGTGTCTGCCCCGCTGGGACCCCTGGGTGTGTCTCCCCCTCTCCGTCCCGGTGCTGATGGTGGCTGTCATTCCTAGGTTCCAGGTCATGGGCATCCTTGTCAAGAAATGCCTTCTGAGTCGGAGGAGACAGTACCTTTGGGAGCCACTCGGGAGTCACCCCACATCAAGATGGAGCCAGAAGAGCTCCACCCCGAGGGGGCATCACAGGAGGACGGGGCTCGAGGAGCACAAGGCTGGGTGCCCCTAAGCCAGGGTTCTAAGGAGAAAGCTCTTTTCCTGCCCAGCAGAGGTGAGGAGAGGGACAGAGGTGGAGGGAGGTGCTGTCCGGGAGTGGGGTTGGGGGCAGCTGTGGAGAGAGGTGGAGCCCCCCGTGCCATGGTCAGAGGGAGACGCCCGGATGTCGGTCCACCTGCCTCTCAGAGGCCGCCCCCATGCAGCCTCAGAGCCTACTCACCCTCTTCTTGGGTGGGGTTGGGGGTGGGTTCGAGGAAGCCGTTGGCGGCCCTGGTAGGCCAGGCATGAGCCCGCCGCAGGGGGCCAGCAGGGTGAGGTGGCCACCCTGAGGACCTCTCTCCCCTTGCAGCCCTCCCCTCCCCCCAGATCCCTGTGCTTTCCCACGAGGGGAGGACCCGAGACCGGCAGATGGCCGCGGCGCTCCTCACCGCCTGGTCCCAGGTGAGTGATCCAGCTGAGGCTGGAGGAAAAGCAGAAGGATGAGCAAGGACAGCGTCTCTCACTCTGAATCGTCTCTGGGTCTGAGCGGTGGCCTGAGGGTGGGGGCTGAAGAGGGATGTGCGTGGAGATCCTGATCTTTGCTGTGGTCCCGCAAAGAAGGACTCTTTTGTTTTTGTCTCTTGTCTTCTGCTGTACACAACCACTTTGCTCTTGCCCCAAAAACGCCATCCTTGGGTGGCTGTCCTACCTCACCATCAGACCCCAGGGCAGGCCTCGCTCGGGGCAGCATGTTGGGAATCTGGGGTCTCGCCCTCGTCTTGGCACCATCGTGCCCCTCCACCCTGTCCTAGAGAGTGGGTGTTTCATGTTGTTTCAGATGCCAGTGACCTTTGAGGACATGGCTCTGTACCTCTCCCGGGAGGAGTGGGGGCAGCTGGACCACACGCAGCAAAGTTTCTACAGGGATGTCCTACTGAAGAGGAACGGGGTGTCCTTGGGTAAGGGCTCGAGTGTGCTGGAGCACCACTTCCTGAGGCCCTGGGTGTCAGGGGTGGGGCCTGTCCTGCCTCCCCCTCCTCCTCCCTTTCCAGGGCTTAACCACCCCCACCCCATTGTTCATCTGGACCATGCTGTTCTGTAGAGCCTTCCTAGCGATGGACCTGTTCTGTATCTGCTGATATGGTAGCCGCGAGCCAGATGCTGCTGTTGAACACCGGAAATGTGGCTAGAGCAACTGAGTTTTCTATTTTCTTTCACTTTAATTTTTTATTTATTTATTTTTCCCCCAAAGCCCCAGTAGATAGTTTTATGTCATAGCTGCACATCCTTCTAGTTGCTGTATGTGGGACGCGGCCTCAGCATGGCCGGAGAAGCAGTGCGTCGGTGCGCGCCTGGGATCCGAACCCAGGCCGCCAGTAGCGGAGCGCGCGCACTTAACCACTAAGCCACGGGGCCGGCCCTATTTTCTTTCACTTTAATCAGCTCAGATTTGAATTGAAATAGCCACAGGTGGCTGGTGGCTGCCGTGTTGGACAGTGCTGATCTGGACCTTCTGCTTCTCAGTTCTTCCCTAGTGCTTATTCCTATGGTTTCACCATCTTCCTCCTGAAGCCTAACTTTAGTGATGTCTGAGCAGAAGGCTTAGCTCTGGGGTCGGGTCTGTTTGCCCTGTGTGTGGGGCGTGGTGCCAGCTAATCTCTCCAGGCCCATAGACTCTGAGCTGTCACATCTGCCCTTGGGTCCCTCAGTTTTTTTCAGGGTAAGCAGTTTTCAGTCAATCAGTCTGTCTGTCAACACACATCTATTGCATTCAACACACATCTATTGCATACCTGCTAGTCCAGGCGGAGCCGGGGGCCTGGTAATCGCACCAATGACTTCCCGGGGGGGCCCCAGGGTCACAGCTGCTGCCCTGCTCACTCCTTTAATTATCTCAGGTTTACTCACCACCTGTTGTTAACACTTCCAGCGCCCAGACCAGCAGGTCCAGGCATGTCCTGGGGGATCAGAGGGAACCTAGTACCCATTTGTGGCCTCACAAATGCCCTAAACCACTCCACTGGTCCAACACAGTCCTTCCCTCCCATGGGGCTTGGATCTGCTCTCTGACTGAAGACCAGAATTCTCGAGCCCTCAACCCGGAGGACTTGACAAATGGGCCTCTGGTCCCTGACTTCTGGGTGGGCAGGCCCTGGTGCTCTTATCCCAGGCCCTCCCACTTGGCCTCATTTTGCCCACTGCCCCTCCTCCAGAAGCCCTTTTTGCCGATGGGCCTGGGAAAGTGCAAGTGCAGGAGTGGGAGACTGTACTGGATTTACCATGTCTCTGGGCCCACTGCTAACCTGGCACAGCTCCTCTCTCTTTGCTTCTGGTGCTCGTTCAGGGAAGCGAGACAGAGACTGACTCAGCCCCAAGAAGGGTGTGTCTGGTGGTTACCTTGGAGCCACTTCCTAGAGTGGGGTAGATGCCTGACCCCAAATGATCTTTGAGTTCACTTAGTTTTACCCGTGTTTGCAGGGCTGCACACCCTCCCCTTTTGCTCCATCACTTCACCGGGGGGTGGCACCCCCTCTGTGCAGCCCAGAGGTTCCGTGACTGAGCACAGCATCTCTTTCTGGGCAGGGTTTCCCTTCAGCAGACCTGTCTGGGCCTCCCAAGTGCAGGGCAAGGGCGAGGCCTCGAGCACCTGCCGGCAGACGGGAGAGGAGGAGGAGGAGAGGAGAGGTGTGTGCAGAGGTGGCAGGTGGGTGGGCACTGTGGCATGGGGCAGAGGGGTCGTGGCTGTCACTGCCAGGTGCCCCTTGTCAGTGTGGGCTCTCTGTTTCCTGTGGGGTGCAGACACACGGCCCTTCCTGGGGCAGGGCTGCTAGCCTCCCCTCCTCTGCAGAGGGTGGTTCCTCCCAGGTCCTTGCCCTTACCTCCATCTCCAGAGTGCCCCTGGGTCCTGCACAAAAGCTTCTCTCTCGCTGGAAACCCTCTTTCTCCAGGAGCCATTGAGGTGGGGAAGGAGGAGCCAACCCCCTCCCTGGCTGCCCTTGGGGATGTGAAGTCCTTTGGGACCAGGGCAGGGAGAGCCCAGGGGGACATCCTGCAGTGCGAGCGGCAAGCAGCCAGCAGCCAGAGCCCAGGGCCAGCCAAAGATGACGGGCAGCTGGGTCCCCCAGAGGAGAGAGAGCCAAAACCAACACCACCTGACACCAGCCTCCCAGAGAAACCCAGAGAGGGGGAGACGGGTGCCCCCGAGAGTATCGAGGAAGGCCTGGCCCCCGATGGCGACACCAGCAGGAAGACCTACAAGTGCGAGCAGTGTGGCAAGGGCTTCAGCTGGCACTCGCACCTGGTGACGCACCGGCGCACGCACACGGGCGAGAAGCCCTACGCCTGCACGGACTGCGGCAAGCGCTTCGGCCGCAGCTCGCACCTCATCCAGCACCAGATCATCCACACGGGCGAGAAGCCCTACACCTGTCCCTCCTGTTGGAAGAGCTTCAGCCACCACTCGACGCTGATCCAGCACCAGCGCATCCACACGGGCGAGAAGCCCTATGTGTGCGACCGCTGCGCCAAGCGCTTCACCCGCCGCTCGGACCTGGTCACCCACCAGGGCACCCACACGGGCGCCAAGCCCCACAAGTGCCCCATCTGCAGCAAGTGCTTCACGCAGAGCTCAGCCCTGGTCACGCACCAACGCACCCACACCGGGGTCAAGCCCTACCCGTGCCCCGAGTGTGGTAAGTGCTTCAGCCAGCGCTCCAACCTCATCGCCCACAACCGCACGCACACGGGAGAGAAGCCCTATCACTGCCTCGACTGCGGCAAGAGCTTCAGCCACAGCTCACACCTCACAGCCCACCAGCGCACCCACCGTGGCGTCCGGCCCTACTCCTGCCCCCTCTGCGGCAAGAGCTTCAGCCGGCGCTCCAACCTGCACCGGCACGAGAAGATCCACACCACCGGCCCCAAGGCCCTGGCCATGCTGATGCTGGGCGCTGCAGGCGCTCTGGCGGCACCCCAACCTGCTCCCACCTAGGAGGCGGGAGGGAGGGGACAGGCTGGGGGAGGAGCGAGGGCAGCTGCTGGGGGAGTGAGGGGGGGCATGGGAAGGGGGTTAGGGAGGTGCTGGCATGGGGGTGGGGCATGGCAACATGGGGGGAGCCAGGGTGAGGAGCAGGCATGCCAGCTGCAAATTAAAGGCCTTGGAATTCAAGCATCAGCCTATAGCTCTGTCTTGTGGGGCCCTGGTGGCTGACCCTGGCCTGTGGGGCTCAACCAGGTGTTGTCACTCAGGCATCCCTGAATCATCGCTCTCTTGGGGTCTTGGGCACTGTCCTCCCCAGCCTTGACCTGGCTTGGGGCCCATTCCAGAGCCTTGGGACCATAAGTCTGCAGGCTTCTGAGCACAGAGAGGTTTCCAAACCTGAAGCCAATCAGCCACTTCTGAAATTGTGGACTCCCTGGAGGGTGGTCTGCTGCTGCCATCACTCTCATCCCTAGGGCACTGCTTCTCTTCAGAGCTGGGAGCAACGCAGAGCCAGCTTAGGAACTCACGCTCATTGTCTCCTGCCTACCCTGTCTCCTCTCTCAGGGACTGGGGCCTGAGTTTTGTGACTGGACGTTTTCCATCTGCTTCCACTGGAGCCCCGCAGTAATCCTGTGAGGACTGCTCGCTTACCAGGGACCACTGTCCCTGGTCCCTTCTGAGGCTGCTGCCAGCTCCTTCTGCTACTTCTCGCCTCCTTGGCCTCTTCCTACAAGTCCTTTATAATTTGCCCTACCTGCCCCTGTTTTACTCCTGGTCTTCTGGTTTTTGACCTCTGTAACTTCTATTTCCCATTCTCTACTTTTTTTTCCTGGAGAGGGGTGGGCTCAGCCTGTTTCTTACCTTAGATTTGCAGCTCAGCTCCCAAGCTAACATTCAGTTCTGACACCAACTGACCTTGAGGGCATCTGCATCAGGGAGGCTGTTGATAGCCCACCCGTCTCTGTGGATCATAGGGTCAGCAGGGTGTCCGCAGTCCTGCTTGGCTCCCAGTTCCTAAGGGATGAAGTGACTTGAACAGGGTGGCCGAGTGTGAATAGTAATAATAGCTGCCAGTTGTTGAGCAGCAGCCCTGCCAGGCGTGGGGCCTAGTGCCGTATATATGTCGCGTCTACTCTCCACAACTCAGCAGTGGGTCTTACCCTAGTTTTATAGATGAGGAAACTGAGGCTGAGGGAGAAGTCCAGTGACTTGCCCAAAGTCATACAGTAGAGAGCTGGAAGCTGGGGTTCAGGTCCAGGGCTTTTACTGTGTAAAGAATACCACTATTTCCACGCACCCCAACAGCTACTGACTGTCTAATTAGTGCATGATATTATTGGGGAGGGCTGTCTAAATAGAGTAAGACGGGCCGGCCTGGTGGCGTAGTGGTTAAGTTCGCATGCTCTGCTTCTGCGGCCTGGGGTTCACAGGTTCAGATCCCGGGCACAGACCTATGGACCACTTATCAAGCCATGCTGTGGCAGGTTTCCACATATAAAGTAGAGGAAGATGGGCACGGATCTTAGCCCAGGGCCAATCTTCCTCAGCAAAAAGAGGAGGATTGGCAACAGATATTAGCTCAGGGCTAATCTTCCTC